GTCTGTTTAGGTCTTCTGCCCATTTTTTGTTTGGGCTGTTTGTTTTCCTAATATTGAGTGGTATGAGCTGCTTATATATGCTGGAGATTAATCCTTTATCAGTTGTTTCATTTGCAATTATTGTCTCCCATTTTCAGCCAGAACATGGAGGCAACCTAGATGTCCATCGATGGATGAATGGATAGAGAAGATGTGGTATTGTATACAGTGGAATATTACTCAGAAATAAAAAAGAATGAATTTGAGTCAGTTCTGGTGAGGTGGATAAACCTAGAGCCTGTTATAGAGAGGGAAGTAAGTCAGAGAAAAACAAATATAGTACATTAATGCATGTGTATGGAATCTAGAAAAATGATATTGATGAACCTATTTGCATGAAGGAATGGAGACACAGATGTAGAGAAGAGACTTGTGGACACAGTGAGGGAGGGAGCGAGGCGGTCAGATGGAGAAAGTAGCATCAGCATAAGCACACTCTCAGGTGTAGGATGGGGAGCTGGTGAGGAGCTGGTGTGTGGCACGGGGAGCCCGGTCTGTGCTCTGTGATGACCTGGAGGGATGGGATGGAGGCCGGGAGGGAGGCTAGGGAGGGAGGTGTATGTATAATTACAGTTTATTTGTGTTGTTGTGTGGCAGAAAGAAACACAACCTTGTAAAAATTAAGAAAAAATATATTTAAATAAAAAATAGAAAATAAACATAATTTTATACTTTTTAAAATGAACAACATGCCCACTAAGCTTTGCCAGGCCACCGTCAGTCGCGGATGCTAAGTGGTTAAACTCTGCACTGCATTTGTCATATTATGTGAATTATGGGATGCGGAGTGACAGAATTTATGCAACCTTATGAAACATTCCAGAGCAGTGTAGCATTTAAGTGAAGATATTTTAATGGCCCAATTTGTTCAGATTGCTTAAGGATAAAAAGTGATTTCACAGGATTTGTTACTATTAATCACTGCAGCCCTAGTGTTTAGTAGATGGTGGGCAGGTGTTTTTAGGATTATACTAATAACAAAGGAAAACAACAGATAGGTTTTAACTAGTCTAATTATAATTAGATACAATTAATGTAGCATTTAAATTTAGAATAAAAGGGCAAGGTTAACATATTATAAAATATTATAATTAATGTGTTAAATGCAGACACAATAATCTTCATTTTGCAATTAATCATTCTGCTTACCATAAGTCACTAGTAACAGATTCAAACTAAGCTTGGGAGAAAATGAAAAGCGTAATTGCTGAATTCCTGGTGTCTAGAAGGAGACAGGATGAATCATGTTTTAAGAGACCCCTGAAAAAAGTCCATTTTAAAAAATGCCAAGACTTGGGTTTGTTATATTCTCCTGGGGCACACACTTTGAAATGATATTTTCACACAAGATGGAATCAAATTTGAATCCTGTCATAGCCACAAAATGCAGAAAGTCCAGATCTCACAGGGAGTAACATTTAAATATTAAATGTTTGTGTCCGAGGCAGAGATGACCAGAATAAAAAGCATCCCATTTCAAGTGAAATCTCTGTCCACTTTGTTTTTCAAACTGGGTTAAATTAGCATTTCTGTTCATGTTGGCCTGAGTGAATACAAAGTAAATATGATAAGCAGCAAAGAGTTTGAAATTACAGGGTTCACATAGTCAAAATGCTTCTCCATTTCATGGAAGGCCCTTCTTTTCATGGAAGCATAGGATTGTTATTTATAGGCTGTGGGACCAAAATGACTGATGGGCCCGTCAGTCAAACTGGATGCTTAGTGCAGTGAGAAAGACCAAAGAGATAATTAACTATATTTTTTTACTTTCTGATAAATAGTTGGCATCAGATAAGTAGTCTTAGGGTCATCACTGTTCGGCCCTTTCCTCCATTTTAGGACCTATGTCTTACACACGTCAGATTATCTTACACGTGTCACTTGGGTGTCCTGGGGAGCTCCAGCTTCAGGGAGTTACCCTTTCCTTATACATTTAAATAAGAGAAGCCAGAGTCCCCGCATCCCATGTGTTAGAGTGTTTGAGGAACATACAACAAGAGTCCATTTTTCCTTACTTAAGTTCTAAATTAGTGGAGGAAAAAAACCCAAATGATTGTATAGCATGTGCATATTCGAGTGATTGTAGAAATAGCCCAAAATATCCCTTAGCAAAATAGGAGTCTTTGTAAGTAAGTCCAGGTTGCCGTGTAGGACGCTCTGCCATGTGATCTAGTGGATCCAATGGTATCTGACATGTCTCTGTAGATCAAAAAGTGATCTACAGTGAAAGTCAAAGAGTTTTACAGTGAAAGTGAAAAAGGAGAGTGAAAAAGTTGGCTTAAAACTCAACATTCAAAAAACTAAGATCATGGCATCCAGTCCCATCATTTCATGACAAATAGATGAGGAAACAATGGAAACAGTGAGAGACTTTATTTTTTTGGGCTCCAAAATCACTGCAGATGGTGAGTGCAGCCGTGAAATTAAAAGACGCTTGCTTCTTGGAAGACAAGCTATGACCCACCTAGACATCATATTAAAAAGCAGAGGCATTATTTTGCCAACAATGGTCTGCATAGTCAAAGCTATGGTTTTTCCAGTGGTCATGTATGGATGTGAGAGATGGACTATAAAGAAAGCTGAGCACCGAAGAATTGATGTTTTTGAACTGTGGTGTTGGAGAAGACTCTTGAGAGTCCGTTGAACTGCAAGGAGATCCAACCAGTCAATTCTAAAGGAAATCAGTCCTGAATATACATTGGAAGGACTGATGCTGAAGCTCCAATACTTTGGCCACCTGATGTGAAGAACTGACTCATGGGAAAAGACCCTGATGCTGGGAAAGATTGAGGGCAGGAGGAGAAGGGGAAAACACAGGGCAAGATGGTTGGATGGCATCACCAACTCGATGGATATGAGTTTGAGCAAGCTCCAGGAGTTGGTCATAGACAGGGAAACCTGGTGTGCTGCAGTCTAAGGGGTCGCAAAGAGTCAGACATGACTGAGCGACCGAACTGAACCATAGATTAAGATGTATGTGGCACCTTGGAAGCCTCCACAGGTGAACTACAGCATATATTGCCTTCAGAATTTTGGAGCAAAACTCTGCTAGCCTTTGTAGATGACTGTTTTTCTTTGGAGAAACAGCTTATGGCTTATAACTAGGCCTTACTAGCGAGTCAACACTTAACTGTGGGCCATCAAATGAGCCTGAGCTGCCTGTTATAAACTGGGTGTTGGCTGGCTCCCCAGATCATAAAGCTGGGCCTGCAGTACAGCTTGAGAAGTCCTGAAAGGACAGGTGAGTTGAATGAACAGGTGGCACAGATGCCCATGGCCCTGACTCTTGCTATCTTGCTTCCTCTTTCTCAACTCACATGAGTAGCGTCTTAGGGAGTTCCCCATGACTAAAATTGTCTGAGGAAGAATAAAATTCAGGCCTAGTTTATAGATCTGTGTGCTCTGTGGCCCAAACCAAAGCAGATAGCTCAGTAAGCACTATTAGCCCCTCTGAGGTGGTTCTGATGTACAGTAGTGAAGGAAAGAAGTCTTACTGTTGGACAGTAATTCAAGGAGTACATCTAGTCATTTTTCCTGGAAGAAGAGACGCCTTGAGATATGGCTGTTTGCTGATTCATGCATGCATGCATGCTAAGTTGCTTCATTTGGGTCTGACTCTCTGTGACCCTACGGATCTCTGTTCATGAGATTCTCCAGGCAAGAGTACTGGAGTGGGTTGCCATCCCCTCCTCCAGTAGACCTTCCTGACCCAGGGATCGAACTCACATTTTTTATGTCTCCTGCATTGCTAGTGGTTCTTTACCACTACCATCAGCACCCATGCTGATTCATAGACCATGGCTAATGGTTTGATAAGATGGTCAGTGTTATGGGCTGGAATGTGTTTGCCTAAGAAGCAACACAACTGGAAAATTGATGACAAGGAGGGGTGTGGATAGATCTTTCTGAATGGTCATAGGGCATGAAGATGTGACTGTTCAGGAAAGAGCAACCTCAGAAGAGGAGAATGTTAACAATCAGATGGAAGAGATGCCCTGCTCTGTGGACGTCAGTAGGTTCTTTCCCTAGTCAATCCATCCTTGCCCACTGGGCTCATGAACAAAGTGGCCATGGTGTCAGAGATGGAGGTTATACATGAACTCAACAGCATGGACTTCTGCTCACTAAGGCTGATCTGTTTACAGTCACTGCTGAGTGCCCAGCCAGCCAGTAAAGAGACCAACCCTGGGCCCCACTACATGGCCCCAGTCCCCAGGAGGATGAGACCTGGGGATGGGTTGATTATTGTACACTGGACCACATCCATCTTGGAAGAGGCAGTACTTGGTTCTTACTGGAAGTGACACTCCTGATATGAATTTGTTTTCCTTGCCCTCAATGCTTTTGCCAAAACCACCATCTGTGGAGTTGCAGAGTATGATTCATGTCAAGGTATTCCCACAGCATTCCTCCTGACCAAGGAACTCATTTACTAGTAATTGAAGTGCAGCCGTGGACTCGTGCTAATGAATTTCACTGATCTTACTGTGTCCCTTATTGTCCGGAGGTCACTGGTCTGTTAGAATGCCAGACTAGCCATTTGCAGATTTAGTTTCCATGCCAGCTGGATAGCAACACCTTGTAGATTAAGATCCAACCCTCCAGGATGTGGTGTATGCTTTAAATCAATGAGCAGTGTATGATGCTATTTCTTCTATTACTAGGATCCATGGGTCCAGGAAAACACTGTGAAAGTTGGGAGTGATTCCTTTCACCGTTGCCCATCATTGTTGTTGTCAGCACTAAGTCATGTCTAACTCTTTGAGACCCCACGGACTGCAGCACACCCAGCTTCCCTGCCGTTCATCATCTCCTGGAGTTTGCTCAAACTCATGTCCTTTGAGTTGGTAATGCCTTCCAACCATCTCATCCTCTGTTGCCCCTTTTGCTTCCTGCCCTCAATCTTTCCCAGCATCAGGGTCTTTAGCTACTAGTTACTGAAGGTCAGCATGGGGCACCAGTCACCCTTGGGTTTCAGGCGTGTTGTCACTGATCTGTTGGCACATCTTGGTAGTACAAGGCAGCAGCCGAACCCATAGTTCCTCCAGCTTCTCCTGGGTCACCTCCTTCAGCTGCTCGGAATCCTGGGCCAGGTGTGTGTGTGGGTCCGCATGTGTGGTGAAGAGCAGCAGCTCCTTCTGCAGACCACCTGTGTCTCTGAGGTCAGAGGTGACAAGGCGTGAGGGGTCCAGCTTGTCCTTGCTCTCGCCTTTTCATGGCCAGCTCTTCCTCCCGATTGGTGGTCCTGAGCTCCACAGAGACTTCAAGCCCACATCAGTCAAGGAGACCAACAGCCTCCAAAGAATTCCTCAGCAGCTCCCACTATTGGATAAGGGGCGATCCCCATCGTAAATCCCGCGTGGTGGTTCTGCTTGTCTGACGAAGTCCAAGGGACACAGCATCCCTCTGACAGCTTCCAGGGGAGAACTTGGTCTTCTTAGTCACGTCTGGGTCTGTTTCCTGCTCCTCAGAATTTTCTAATTCCCTGTTGTCCCGACTCCTGCCTCTGTTCTCCCGCTATGTCCTGAGTCAATCACAGTGCAAAGCATGGTGACTTCTCCTTCATTTACCTCAGACGCCGCTCACGAAAGCAGGGAATTTCATAAAAGTTTTGTGGTTAAAAATGAGAATTGCATTGAAACAAAATACCTATAGCAGATGACTTAAAAGCGGAATATTTTCCCCTCTTGTTTTGAAAAGTCCAGCTCCCTGGCCTTCTGCCAACTGCCAGTTTCTTCTTCCTCCTTCTCTCTTCTCTTTGCCTCTCTAATCTGCAATCCTGTCCTGGCAACTCAACATTCCTCAACATTTCACTAAAACGTGTGGAACAATTCAGCTCTCTCATCGTCCTGGCCCTGATCACGCTGTTGTGTGCTTTCCCTTTCATAACCAAAGAGGCCATCAGAGAAAAGGCGATCTCTCCTGAAGACGAAGTTTGCTGCCAGTCTGTAAGCCCTGTGCCCCCACCTCTGTGTGGTGAACTCTCTTACATTAGCTCTCAATGGAAAGGGACACCATACTCTCTGTCATCCCATCACAGATTTACTCCAAATCAATCCTATAAAACCAAAACCTTAAAAGAAAGATTGGCAAGATGATTGTCTTAGGAGATGTAGGTCCTGCTAAGGAAGAGCTTTGAGAACGTTTTGAATTGCAGGCAGTTCGTACCAGCTGTGGGTTGCAACTGTTTTTTCCCTGGTGAGTTGTTTAGGATGTCATTGTGTATAAGTTTCAAGCTACCCTTCTAGAAGCTTTCACTTAGAAAGTTAATATTTCACTTTTTTAAGAGTAAAAAGGAAACCCCAGGCTGTGTTTTGGCATGTGAAATTCTGTGCAAATTGTAGCTTGTCTTTCTCCCTTTCGGAGATATATGTATTTGCTAATTAAAAAAATACAATCTAAGAAAGCAACAGAAGCATAGCAAGGTGGGTATTTAAATTCAGAGAAGGAGGTAAAAAATACAGAAGACTGAGGAAAATGGGAGAGTTACTTTTTAAATTTATCCAAACTTGAACATAAGCACCTTATTTTAGCAAAAGAATGACTTGTTGTAGCTATGATGAGTTTATCATTATATTATGAATTTTTACATGGCCCCACAACTTTCCAGGATATTTGACAAGACTCTCCAAACTGAGAGACTGATAATGTTTCATTGCCTCGTTACTATTTTTGTGCTACAAGTTAAGTTATAACAAAGTTACATTAAAGTTTTGAAATTTTACTTTATTAAGTTAAAATATAAAGTGAAAGGAAAACGTAACCTCTTCTTGATTGGGGAGATTTTAATCACAGATTTTTATGCTCTCAGTGTGTGATGTCTTGTCTACGTCTTTCTTGCCCTGCGTTGAGGAGCGGAAAGAGGAGTTTTGAGGGGGAGAGAGCCTGAGGGAAATGCCTTCAGTAGTCGCTGTGCAGAAGGACAGACAGACGACCTTGCGGGCTCACTACCCATAGTGCTCCTGGCTCGGCGCCCAGAGTGCTGCACGTTCTATACCCACGGTACCCTGGCATCCAGTTGACTTCATGTCGCTTTAGTGGTTTGACCAGAGCCCCAGGACTCAGAGTGTGAAGAAATCCTCCCAGATTCTCCCTTAGGAGTCCGTTCATCACAGTTGCTCTAAAGCAATGGTTTCTTAACCTTACCGGGTTCATGGAGGTCTGGAGATTCTAAAGACCCTTTCCAGAGTAAAATGCACAGACGTATATGCACAAAAAATTTGCAAACAACATCAGAAGATTTGTAGACCCCATGAAAGCTACCCAAGAACTAAGGTAAATCCCTAATCGAAATCATTGTCTACTGGATAATTGTACGGGCCTTCCTATTTTCGAACATAGAAGAAACTTTTCCAAAAATTTCTGGCTTAGTCCTGAGTGGCATTCAGCTTGTCTGGAACTTAGAGGAGGAAAACATGGATTCATATACCCTTACAGCTGTTTAACTCAGGCTGAATGAATTCTAAGTGAGGCCAGCCACAGAAAAGCCACATTTGTCTCTTCTTTGCTGCTGAATTCTAGGTGCATAAATGGTACTTGGGCTTCCCTGATAGCTCAGTTGGTAAACAATCTGCCTGCAATGCAGGAGACCCCTGTTCAATTCCTGGGTCAGAAAGATCTGCTGGAGAAAGGAAAGGCTACCCATTCCAGTATTCTGGCCTGGAGAATTCCATGGACTATACAGTTCATGGGGTTGCAAAGAGTTGGAACCCCAACTGAGGGTGACTGAGCAACTTTCAGTTCACTTCAAATCGTTCAGTTCAGTTCAGTTCAGTCGCTCAGTTGTGTCTGACTGTTTGCGACCCCATGGACTGCAGCACGCTAGGCCTCCCTGTCCATCACCAACTCCTGAAGCTTGCTCAAACTCATGTCCAATGAGTCGGTGATGCCATCCACCACCTCATCCTCTGTCATCCCCTTCTCCTCCTGCCCTCAATCTTTCCCAGCATCAGGGTCTTTTCAAATGAGTCAGCTCTTCACATCAGGTGGCCAAAGATTTGGAGTTTCAGCTTCAACATCAGTCCTTCCAATGAACACCCAGGACTGATTTCCTTTAGGATTGACTGGTTGGATCTCCTTGCAATCCAAGGAACTTTCAAGAGTCATCTCCAACACCACAGTTCAAAAGCATCAATTCTTCGGCGCTCAGCTTTCTTTATGGTCCAACTCTCACATCCACACATGACCACTGGAAAAACCATAGCTTTGACTAGACAGACCTTTGTTGGCAAAGTACTGTTTCTGCTTTTTAACGTGCTGTCTAGGTTGGTCATAGCTTTTCTTCCAAAGAGCAAAGGGCACTTCAAATGGTATTTCCAAGGAGCAAATGGTACCCAATAAATAACTGTTGGAAGCTTTTGCTTTAGAGTATAGGTTTACAGTGAGCTTCCATAGTGGCTCAGATGGTAAAGAGTCCGCCTGCAATGCAGGAGATCCAGGTTCAGTCCCTGGGTTGGGAAGATCCCCTGGAGAAGGGAATCGCTACCCACTCCAGTATTCTCGTCTGGAGAATCCCATGGGCAGAGGAGCCTGGCAGGCTACAATCTAAGCAGTTGCAGAGTCAGACACAACTGAGCAACTAAGCTTGCACCCACACGTGTAAAGTGGGGAGAGAGAACAAAGTGGGCTGGTGTGTGCTCACGGAGTAAGAAGAGGGCACGCGGAACTTGAACGATGGGTAAGACGTGTAGTTGGGTGTGTGGCCCCTCAGAGAATCTGGGCCAACCCATCAATAAGGGACTCCCACCCTCCTCTACTCACCCATAATGGAAGGAAACCTGGATTAGATCAGAAATTTGAGCCGTGGGTAAGGCTGCTGGGGGACCACGGAAATTAGGGAGTCCTTGATACAGTGATGGTCCAAGTGTTGAGGAAGAAAGTCTAGCCATTGGACAGGGGAAGCATGAATGCTGCCTAACTGAGCTAAGCGTCCCCAGTTTGGAGTAAATTGGAAAGACGGGGTTATCTAATTTCAATCCTTTATCCTACTTCAGTAAAAGTGGACAAGGTTAGTGTTGGGGTTTCTGAGGGAGCAAGCAATTTGCAACCCTTTCCATCTAAATTCTGAAACAATTGAGAAATAGACACAGGAGTCCAACTGCAGTAACCAAATAGCTTCATTACTCTAAGAGCTTGGTGAGTGAATGTGGCTTGAAATGTATACCAAAATGGACTCTTAAAACTTGTCACCTCCCCTCCTCCACCATCTCCAAGATCATGGGGCTCCCTTGGGGAGAGTCACAGCAGACTATTGAGGTTCAGATCCCAGCTTTGCCACTTCGTAGTTCACTTGCTGTGGAATCCTGGGCAAAGATTTGCTTTTCTTCTCTGTGCCCTGGGCTTTTCATCTATAAAATGGGGATGATAATTATAGTAGTCCCCAACATACGGACAAATAAGAGCACATTCCCAAGTCTGATTTGCTTCTCAGTCCAACAAAGTTTAGCCTGGGTACACAACTAACACAATTAGCTTTATGGTACTGTACTGTAATAAGTTTATAATACTTTTCACACAAATAACACATAAAAACCAAACAAATATAAAAATAGACGACAACAACAACAACAGAAACCCCATGTATAATCTTACAGCACAGTACTCTGAAAAGTGCAGTAATATAGCTGGATGAAACACCTGTTTCATCCAGGGACTGGTATCAAGAGAACAGGCAAGTAGAGTCCCTAACTGGAGGAGGCAGAGGAGGTGGGGGGTGGTCGTGCTGAAGCACCTAGATATTTTTAAGGCTCTTGATAACAAATTGCTCTGGGGAGGAGTCATTCTGTTTAGCTTCTTCTATGCCCTAGCCCAGAAACTTGAGAAGGTACCCATACATTGTAGGTAATTTTTACATTTTAAAGCAGGTAAGCAGAAAAAGCAAGGGCATTTTAGAGAAGGTAAGCAGTTGCACAAATATCCTCTGTCCGAGACTCCAAATGACCTGCTTTCCTTCACACAGCATCGTGACTCAGCAGCAGGAAAGGCGATAGGATTGGACTCGGGGCCAGTTCCCCAGGGGGAACAGAGCTGGGGACCAGGCCCTGGGGCTGGATTCAGGCTTCAGGGATGCTAGGAGAGGCATTAACACCTTCTCCTCCCAGGCTTGGGAACATCCAGACACTTCTCTGAGCACAGTTCTCCAATCTGCTTTCAGCCGACTTTCACGTTCTCAAGTTTAACCTTGTCAGGCTTGATGATCAACAAGGTTGC